GTGGAACAACACCTAACACGAATTATTAAACCAAATACGTATCAACTACAATGGGTTTAATCCTTGAATGACTGTGCGACTAAGTCACCCAGTTGTCCGACTACTATCGTCCACTATCGCCAAAGTGTTACGGTACATCGGGGTCGAATATCCTAACCCCAGATGATGCCCTCGCCTAGCACTACCGCATACGGAGACTAAACGATACCATAAAACATAACCAATAAACCGTGCAATATGTGTGCAGCATGTCAAATAAGTAAATTTATCAGAAAGGGCTGGTGAGACAGCTCACATATCCTCATTTTCATAAATTCACCAACGCGAACAAATACGTATATCAAATATCATAAAATGAGAAGTCTCACACATGCATACGCACATATCTATATATATAAATATATACATGCACTGGCAGAATGATCCACATAATATCACATTAACATATTAATCAGAATCGCATGCAATTTCTTAAAATTAGATCTAATTAGCTATTGCTTACCTCTTATCAACACTCCTTAACTTTTGCAATATCACTCAAATCTCCTTCATCATACACATGCTCCTCCATCATACACTTGCTCCATTATTTACTCAAATCAGATGAGGTATATGCTTATTCATAGGAGCTACTTGTTTATTCAAAAAGCTAATTTCTATAATTAGCTCGTTGGGCTTTAAACTTTTATATTTAGTAGAATACGATATTCTAACTATAAAACTGTTATACCTCGTAATATTTAGATCTTTCAATTATTAACTAAAAATACTTAAATATATGAATAAACAGTCATATGCAATAGACTACCATTTTCAATTCAGCTTGGATCAATACAAAATTCTTATAATATAACGCTAGGACTCCGAATAGACTATTTGCTAAAGCAACTAGTCGATTAAATAGTCAATTATGAATTTTTTAAGAATTTCTAATTTAATATCTTTAATATCTAAATTTATATTAAAAAATTCATAATTAAACTATAAGTATAGCATAGAATACAATAACGAAGTTGGAATTGAAATCGAATGGCTAATTTTTTATTGTTTTTTCTTTTCTACTCATTCTCCTTCCTTCTGCTCTGCGTGTGCTTCGAAGGTGAGTGAGTGTTTTTTTTTTTTTCTTCTTTCATTTACTATACATATAAAAATATTATTATTATTATATATCATATTATTACTATTATTATTAACATCCTCGTCCGCCCACCATCATCATTATCATCTTTACTATTATTATATTATTAAATTATTAAATTATATATATATTATATTTTATATTTATTTTTATCGATATTTATCTTTTAACAATCTTTTCAATCATATTATATATATAAAATAAAAATAAAATTTATTCTAAAATATTAATTTTTTGATCCCAAAATATAATAAAAATATTTATTTGCTATAATAATATTATTTTACACACTTCAAAATTGGGGCATTACACATATCAAATTTTGAGAATATATAAGCGTCATATAACTTTTGTAATAAATTTCTTTTATTAGGAATAGGGTATCGAATCCATTTTAAAATTTTGTTTAACAATGTGTTTATTACTAACATTGGGGTTCCTCTTTCAATTTCAGAGATTTTGTTAATGTGATAACATGTTTCTTTCCTTCTCAGAAAGCACTAGGAAAATTAGAACATGTTTATTGTTTTATTAATTCAAACATATTAGAAATTCTTTGTTTAGTTTCTGGATTTTGTAGTTGAGTTTCAATTCTTTTATAATGAATATCCGTTTTTAATTCATTTAGGGTAAACATCTTTGATTGTACAATATTATGTATTGAAGTTGAATAGATAGAGCTGACTTCTAATAAGTTGGTTTCTGTTGCTTGTGGTTTACTTATAAAAGTAAAATATAATTTTTTTATTATTTATTTTGAATGAGATTGATTTCAGACCAACTGTATAAGGTGTAATTAAATTTAAAAAATGGGTTCCTAACATAACCATATGATGTATATTCTTTACTACGACAAATGAAGTTCTTAAATGAATTCCTTCATTTACTACAGAAGCTTCAATCTGAGATGAGACGCTTAGTATTGAATTATTTACTGCTTTTATTTTTGCATGAGTTTTGTGGAGGAATCTGGTAGGGGAAAATCCATCTTTATATAATTTAAGTCGGCTCAAAGAGTGCTATAGTATTTAGACAAAAATCCGTTAGAGAATTCAAGTTGTATTTTTATGATATATTTTCTTGAGGTGATTTCTTTTATAACATCCTTTAGAGAATTCAAAGAGTGCTATATTTTCTTTTCTGGTGTGTTTTGAATAGATTGTATTTGGTCTTGTATCGCCTCATTAGATGTTTCAACGACATCAATAGTGTTAATAATTTCGATAATCTTTTATATTTTTTGGGAGTCTTGGGTTTGTTGTTCTTTTATTTTTTTGATTTCATATTTTAATTTTTTGATTTCCTTTTGAAGGGTATGAATTGTAGGATTTTTTAATATATTTTTTTTATTTCCTAATATTTTGGTTAGATCATATGTCTATGGGCTAGAGTTATCACTACAAAAAAATAATATATTTGTAACGGAATTTCGTCCATAAAGTTCACGTAGCTAACGTAATTCGGTTCATAATTCCGTCTCTAATGTCATTAGTAACGAAAAAAGTAGATTTAGAAAGAAAAAAGTTTTGTTACAAAAATAATTTTTTCTTGTAGAGTATGTTGGTGTGTTGTTTTTTTAGATGTTGGAGTAATTTTTCAAAACATGTTTCTTGGATATCTAGATTATTTATCTGTTTAATTATATCAATTAAGTTTTGTTGTTCTTGTGTGATTGTGTTGATAGATAGACCAGAGCTAGAAGAATCTAATGAAGTTTCATCTTTTTCTATGTTACATCTTTTTTATCTTCATGAGATGAGTAAGAAGATTTTATTTATGTTTCGGATTTATCTTCTTCGGAAGATGTTAAGAAAAGATTATAAAGTTTATCAGTAATTTTTGCTTCAAGTTGTAACTCTTGAGTCTTTCTTCGAATTTTACAATATTTAGCTATATGTCATGTTTTGTTGCATCTATAGCATTTTATGTTATCTTTGTTCTTTCTTTTGTAGTTATTATTAAGAGGTTTTTTATATATTATTTTTTTTTGGTATTGTTGTAATATATAGGGGTTTTAAAGAGTTTGTAATCTTTTTTATGATATTTTCTATTAGACTTAGATGTTTCTTTGCAATTGTAATTTTCATTAGAAGGTTTAGGACTACAAGCTTCAAATTTCTTACAAACGGTTCTTAATACTATTTTTATTTGTTTAAGTTCTCATTTTAGGTGTTTTTGTATTTTTTATATCTTGACATATTCGAAGTGCTTCTTCTGTTATTATACTAATTAATTGGCCATAGGTGTAATTATGATAATCTATAATATGTGATCCTGATAAAGTTTTAATTCTATTTAGGACTTTTTCTCCTAATAATGTTGGTAATCCTGCGAGAAATTTTTCTTTCGAGAATGGTTGGTTTGATTCGTCACGAGTTAGTAGAGTATCAAGAAAATCTCTTTTGTAATTAGGGAAATCACTAAGTTTTTTTACATCTGAGGTTGAATAAGAGTTCAGTGTTTCTATTTTTAATATGGGTGGGATCTCCTAAAAAAAATATTGATATGGTCTAGATTAAAGATGATACGGCATCTTGTATAGTATCACCTAATTCATTTAAGATCGGAATTTCGTATTCATCTATTTTAATGGCATCTAATATATCTTGTTGTTGAGTATAGGTGAGATATGAATGCCACCATCGTTTTAACTGGACATTTGCAGCCATAGTCATTTGTTGTAACAGAAGTATGATTTGATGTTCTCCTAAACCATCGAAATTCCAATTATATGGGACGAAGAATTAAAGGGAGTTTGAGGGACGGGCTGAAATACAAAGGTGAGAGGGAGCGGTTGAGCATCCCAATTAATCCCAGTCTAATGTGAGGAAATGACATTTAAGCGAGAAGATGATAGTATATCATGAGCATATTCAGCGTTGGTGGTGCCTATTCGTGAAAGATGGGATTAGAGTTCTTTAATAAAGTCAGATTTTCCTTGTATAAGAGTTGGCAGAGGAAATTTTTAGATTTGATTTATACAGTGTTGTGAATTGTGTATCTAAAATATGAGATTCAATCCTTTCTAGATATTTTCCGATTGTATTTAGATGAATGTTGGTGTAGTTGGTTTGACCAATTAAATTTTTAATATTGACCTTTTCATCCTCATTAACTTGTTTAAAGGGCAGTATTTATTTGTTGATCTTTAATAGAAAACTTAAAAACTTATAGATTAGATTAAAGAGTGGTCTGATATATATATATATATATATTAATACGAAATATTATCTATTTATTTATAAAAAATAATAATTTAATACAAATTATTATTTTTTTATTATTAGACGAATTCGGGATGAGTTTTGTAAACCTCATAATTTACCTGTCAACAAATTTTAGGTCCCAAAACGTGCTTTATTTTACCATAGCTCCGTCTCCCCTTAAATTTGCTAGATTTATGGCAGATCCGAAATATTCATTTTGTTTTATAAAAAAAATAATAAATTTTTCTTTTTGCGTGAAACATTTATCCAGTGTCACTTTTTTGTAGCAGCTGCGAATTCTTACGTTATATAAATATATATATATATATATATATCAAAATACCCATAATATATCTTCAACGAAAGTAGCATTAGTATACCATGTGATAAAAAAAACCGAGTTCAGGATGGGATTTTGATAAAGTTTAAATTCTTAAAAACTCATAACCAGAAGTTCCAAATCTGATTCCAGCTCAATTCCCATGCCTACAAAGGATTGTGGCACCCCCACTAAGTCAAGTCCCATTGTTCAACAAAGAATCAATCAATCATTAAATTAAATTAAATTTATTTTCTACTTGACTCTCAATCACCATTCACCATACAAACTTGACCACAGAGTGTAAAAGAATCCTATCACATTAATGGAATGAGATGAAAACACATGAAAATAAAAGCAATGAAGACAAATAAATAAATATAAGTGTAAAAGACTAAAGAAATCCAAAGAAAATATAACCCCACATAAAACAGATAGAACCGCTTCAAGAGCATTCTTTCACTTTTATCTTTTTTTCAATATTCATTCATGACATGACACTGACACACCAAAACAACAGAAATTCCCAACAATAACATTGCATATATATATATATATGCCTAATCTAGAACACCAACATTTTATACACAAATCAAATTTGAGAGGGGTGGGGGGGGTTAGCAGCTCAGCTTCTGTATGCACAACCTAAAGTAGAAACTACTATATTGTCTTGTCACCCATCCTTCATTGCATCAAAATAAGGAGGAAGACGACCAAGTATATATATATATATATATATGTCGTGTAAGGTAAGAATTTGTACCATTTCTTGCATGGTGATGTGGTGTTAGAAAATCAGCTACACGTAATGTCGGCAACAAAAATGGGATCAGCAGCATGCCATGTGCCTTTTTTGTTCCAGGAGCATTGCTTCTTGTTGAATTTGCAAGACCTGTGTCCTCAGATCACAGTGCATAACCTATATATAGCACATGGGGTGGGGGGTGGGGTAACTTGGGTTGTTAGAGTACCACATGCACGCACATATTGGTTGATCGTCTATCTTGGGAAAGTGTAGTGTAAATGATTTAAAGATTATCAATTTTTTTACAAATAGTTGTCACCTGCAATGGAATGAATGTCACGGACAAGAAATCTTTGCATTCAGCAAGAAAACGATGGCCTTGTACGCTCGTATTGGAAAGTTCCGACACTAGTAGGTTCATCTGTTCCACCTGTTGAACCGATGCAGTAAAATGTTCAAGAACTTCAATAAAAACACTTACCCAAAACATTTAGACATAAAACCACATTATTTGATGCTGCATGTTTTATTCTAGGGAAAACAAGAATTCCTTACACAATGTACCTTACGGCCCACGGTAACATTCAATTAACATGCAAAAGACTAGATTCTAAAAATTGCGCTTACACTTAAAAGTGTGACTTTACATTTTAAAGGTATAATCGCGGTACTCATCAGAAACAGGTGCATTGCATGATATATACTAAAGGTCAGTGTATAGTTTGAACAATTCACTTATTAATGAACTACCTTTGATAACAATGAGCAGATTGAAGATGCCATTGCTTGCATAACATCAACAGCCGAAGATATTGCTAGTTGTACCTTATGCACATCAGCCTGAAAAAGCGAAAAGCACAGAGAATAAAGTCGGAGATGTGAGATTCTTTTAGTTAATCATGACAAACTACAAAAGACAGAAGGTCCATCACGTGCTTTAATAACATTGATCAAGTTTGGCAATGATGGATTCAATACAAAAAAAATCATTGTACCTTAGCACCACATACAATAGGAAGACGAACTGTACTAGCTTTCAGGGCATCTACAGCTGAAGACACTGAATTGCAGTGACCTGTATCAATCAGCCCCCAGCATTCCAAATGCGGTTCCTGCATGTAGAGATAAATGCCAAACAATGACCTTAACCTGTGGGTATCGTATGTTCATCTGTCACAGCAGCCGCTACTTAACCACATTCATTGTAACAAACACAAATGATAGAAATTTGGGACATAAATGGAGGGTGTGCACAGGAATTGGAGAAAAAAATCTTTATTTACAGTCTGACAAGGTAGCATTTGTAAGATTCTTCAGAATCAAACTATATAAATATTGATAGAGTAGATAGAATAAAGAAAAGAACAGAATCAAATCTTACTTGTTTCAATAATATATAATGAAGCTTCAGCTTATGCCTCACAAGTTGTAGTTCAATCCTCTTGGATGCAACCAAGTTCTGCAGTTTAGAGTTTTTCATCCAAGCATCATAGAGGCTTCCCTGGGGAGGTTAAAAAATAAAGCCAAGAGTTGAGATCAATTCGCCAAGAGAGGGCATATATTATAATGAATATACATATATTATAATTCTAAATCAAATTAAGGGCACGTCTCGCAGAAATCCCACACAACCAAATTATAGTTGAGAACCAGAAACCTCTGCTACAAAACATTTTCATTCCCAACCCTTTCACTTCCATCAGAAACCTCCAGTATTAAACATCCAGCCTCAAAATAAACACTTCTATCAGAAACCTCAGGTATTAAACATCTAGCCTCAAAATAAACTCTCTTTAAAATTTTGGAACTAATAAGAGAATATAACATCTTCCATATGGTTTTGACATAGATTGAGTATTACAAATTTGGACCATAGAATCCAAGAAGAATGTAAAACATACCCCATCATCGATAAACTCTAAACCTAATTTGGGCTCCACACTTACAGGTAAGGATAAAGTTGAAACAGATATAGATAATTAACAGTACTCCAAAAATGTGACAAAGACACGAACACCAGATCAATTTTTCAAAGTGAGCTTCAGAGATGTTTATTTCAAGGTTTCAGAAATTACAGTGTTTGATCAGTTATTCCAGTTTCGACGGTGAGAAATTAATGTTATGTTGGGACCTTGCAAATTTTGGAAAAGACGTTCTCTTCCAAAGAAGTCATAAAATCCAGACGTTTGTTAGCAATTAAACATTAGATTGTAATGCTGGAAAATGCCTGCATTGTCTATGGATGGACTCAAAAAAGTTCTGCCGATAAGAGCAAATGCCACACAAAGAATAAAACATAGTTTGCCCAGTATATCAACCAGATAGAATTTTCTGTGTAAGAATGATTATCTTGTGTCAAGCCTTTTCCAATTCTGTGCTGCATTTTATTAGGCAAATAAAAAACTTTTCAATGTACTTCATTCTTCCAAAGCCCAACCCTGATGTCAAATAGACCACTATATGCTAAGCCAGCTGTAAGCCATCTAATTTGCAGCTCAAATATATCAAATGCTTCTGATTAAGTTGTAAATATACATATTTGACTTCACACATGATAAGTTTTGGTAAAAGTAACATGACTGAACTACTAACATAACCATAAAGCACAGAAAAATCTAAACTCTGCATTGATCACATAACTTAATAATACCATGGTTTAGCTCCAATAAAGTGGCAAATTATGTCCATTTCTACCATTTCGGATTATCCATGTCAAGCTTAACTCACACGGCTGAATTGGAAGCAGAAAAAAGCACACAAAATCTGTGATATGATGCATAGACCAATTGCAATGGCGTTAATTAATTTATACTTTATTCACAAAGGGCAGGGAGAAGCATATACCTGTGCCATATGTTTTTGAAAGAACAAACTATGTTCCCGCTTCGCATTCGCTAGTCGCCACTGCAAAAGCCGATTATAGAGTAATCTCAACTCATGCGACTCGGCAATATAATTTTCTCCCAATTTGCCTTTCCTGGCATCAACAGAAAAGTGAAACATAGATGGTGTTCTACATATGTTACTTTCATTCATCGGTAAGCTGCCATTTCTAGCTCTTGGCGGAGTAGCCATACCCCTCATAATAGCACCAGTTGATGGAGTGAAGGCCTTGCCCGGTGAGGCAGACCTGACAACCCCTCTATGAGGTGATGATCCCCTACTTGTAGAAGCCTCCTTAGGCCATGATAAGAGACTATTATTCTGAACCTTCTTTGCTGCAAGCAATTTTGATGGAGCTACTGATCTATTTGTAGCAGCACTCTTTGGTGAAGGTGAATCAAGGTATTGCAGTTCTTGTGCTTTGTTACTCGGATCCTGCCAAATTCTTGCAGGCACAACCAAACCATGGGGTCTTCCTTTTAGTTGAATTGAATTTCTACTGGCAGTGCTCTCGAGTGAGACGCTCTTAACATCTGAGTTAATTGAATCACCGGATTTCGATCTACAATCAAGCTCAAGTCTGAGTCCACGACCCTCAGCATCGTTGGACCTTTCATCAGCCATGGATTTTCTCAATTCCTTGATTCCAGAATACGATCGAACCGATTGCACTCTCTCAGCGCTGCAATCCAAGCTCCGAGTGAGGACGCTCGAATTCTCGCTGCGCAACCTTCCCGGCCAACGATGCTGTTGCTGATTACTCGGCCGCGAGTTCTCCCAATCCTTCTCCTTCCGATCTCTACCCGGTGTAACCCCAGCTTTCCTCCTCTCCTCCGCCGTACCTTTCCTCGGCCCTACGGAGGTTCCAACCGTCGTCGGAGGTGCCTTAACTTTACTCACAGGTACCGAATACGAGTCTCCCTGAAACGACACAGATAAGCTCCGCATCGACGTTACTAGCATCCTCTCCGCACTAGAAGGCGTCGCCGGCGCCCGACGCCTCTCAGCAGACACCGCACGCTGCTGGCTCTTGGGCGTAGTAGCAACCACGGTTTTCGTGCTGGTGATCGGAGACCGAGGCCTCCTCGAAAAGGTTGAAAACCCTGAGGTGACCGAAGACGAAGTTGTGTTGGTCGAGGAAGAGGAATTGGAAGACGAAGACGTGGTGGCGGCAGACAAATACCGCGAAGTGACTTCGCGACTCTTCGGACGCCGTACCGGCGGCCCATTGCCGGCGTCGGAAGGCAGAAACGGCTTCAGCTTCGTATTTTCCGAAAGGCGGTGGGTCGATGCGACAGCGGTTACCATCTCTCTTATCACATTCCCAACCACCGCCTCCCTCCCCACCCAAAATTCCGCCCTAATTAAGCTGATTCAACGAGGGAACCGTGAGCTCGAACGCCTAGAGAGAGAGAGAGAAACGGAATGGGAGAGATGTGGAAGACGAGAGAGTAGAGAGCGAAAACAGAGTGAGGCTAATCGGTAATCGGAAATATGACCGTTGCCAATCCGACGTTTAATATATACATATAACTATATATACATACGCATATACATATACATACATACATCTGTATGTAAGTGTCTATTTTCTGACTAGGAAATAAATATATTTGTTAAATTTAATTATTATTTTATATTTAAATTTTCTTTTTAGTTACTACTGTAGAATTTTCTCTTGGAAAGTATTCATTAAATTTTAAAATTCTCCGTCAATTTCCATCGGAAGAGTGGCATTTCGTTTTATAAGCAGATTTTTGAATATTAATATCATATTAGATTGTATTAAAAAAAGATAAAAATACCTTTATTAGTACGGTGTAATATAAAAATAATGACATTTGTATAATACATTGTATAATATATTGTAAATTGAAATAGTATTTATTATGTTAGGTAGACAGTACAATTACTAAATTAGAAAATTATAATCTTGATTTGGAACGGATAAAAATAAAAAATCGTAATCTTTCAATGGGACGGAAGGAGTATTAAATACAAAACCCAAATTTTACAATTACATCTTCAGGTGTGTGTGGAAATTGGGTTTTAGATTTGAGTTTTCAATAACAAAAACTTAATTTGATGTGATATTAATAAATATTAATGTGATATTTTAATTATAAAATTAAAATTAATATATAACATAAAAAATAAAAATTCCATACCATTCCGTTCACGTCTGAAGTTTACATTTATAATGTGATATGTTTTGTTATAAAATATTAAAATTAATTTCCCTCCGTCCACATAGAAAATTTGTTTTTTAGCATATTGATCCTTAAATATTAATTATCAAAATATAGTACAAATAAAAAAATGACAAAAATACATGTATTAGTTTTTTATAATACAAATATAATGACATTTGTATAGAAAACTATACAAATATAAGTATATTTTTAATGTTAAATCACTACAAAAAAAAAAATGATATATTTGTAACTAAATTTCGTTCCTAAATTCACGTAGCTAACATAATTTCATCTCAAATTCCGTCTCTAATGTCATTAGTAACGGAAAAAGTAGATTTAAAGACGAAAAAATTTATGTTACAGAAATAATATTTTCTTGTAGTGAATACAACAACGTAAAAGGTAAATGTAAACTTATTAAGTTAACGGAGGGAGTATATAATATAAAAAATAAAAATTGCATACTACTCCGTTCACGTCTAAAGTTTACCGTTATCTTTATACTTTAACATTAAAAATACTTTCATATTTATATAATTTATATTTCTATAATAAAATACTAATAGAAATATTTTTATTTTTTCTACCTATTTTAATATAATAATTAATATTCAAATATTAACAAGTAAAAAGTAGATGTAAACTTTAGAGAATGAAAAAAATACACTTAATTTGACATTCTTTTGGAAATTAAAGGATATGTTTCTTTTGATGAGTTTTGAAAAATTTTGGTCTGAGTTTAATATTAAAATAATATACGATGAGATATTTTGTAAGAGAAAAAAATATATTTTTTTTAAAAAATCGTAAAGTTCAAATAGTAAAAAGTTAGAGTTAATGGCAAATGAGACAAACTTGAATAATAGTTATTAGTTAAGAGAAAGAGGTAGTATTATTTTAAACATCTACTTTATATAGATATATAAAACTATGAATAAATTTATATTATTTGAATTTTTCTTAGCTTAGTTATTTACATTATATTTAGAGCAGCATTCAATTTCTTATCTGTTTAAAAAATTTTAATATTTTTAAAAATAATAAAAATTTAAATATTTGATGTATTACCATAAATAAATAACGCTACTAAAGTGAAAAAAATAATAACATAGATAAAATTTGATTATTCAATTCAATTTATGTATATTTTTTATTATTATTACATAAATATCATTACTTTTTACACAAGTACAAACATAAAGATATTTTAGTTTTTTAATATTTATTTTATACCCACTTTCAAAATAATACTATTATTTTTTAAATTTTATATTAAACTCAAATATTCTTATTATTTTGAGACGAAAAAAATATTATATTTATAAGGTAACAACCTAAATGACATATATATATATATATATATGACAATTTTTTTAGAAAAAAACAAACAAACTCAAGTTTTACATAAAAATAAAAAGTAAAAAATTAATAAAAAAAAAAAGAAAATCATAAGTTAAAAACTGATATTTCATGTAATATGAGGTCTTTTTTAAAAAGTTAAAAGTAAATTTAAAAATAAAAATAATTTGATTTTCTATTTTAGTGTATTATCATAAAATAATTTTTAGAAATAAAAATAAACATAATAAAATTAAAAGTGTTATTAAAATGTCAAAATTATCAAAAAAGAACATTATGTTAATGTAAATATATCTTTTTTTACTAAACTTTTTATAATTTACTTTAAAAAATTATAAATTATATTTTAAAAAATAGTTATTTAGTATAATTATTAATACATTTATAAAATTTACTATTGAATTATATTTTCAAATTTTAATTTAAATATGATATATACTTAATTAAAAATAAAGATATATTTTTTTCAAATTAATAATATTCTATAATTTATTTTAAAAAACTTTAAAAAATCATATTTTAAAAATTTGACCTACTTATAATTAATTAAAAATCTATATTTTTTAAAATTTGATAGTTCAATTATATTTTTAAATTTAGATTTAAGTTTAATATGTAAATTAAAAATAAAAATACAATTGTATATTTAAATTTTAAATTAATCATAATATATCAATTCATTATTTTTAGTTACATTAGTTATTATTATTATTATTATTATTATTATTATTATTATTATTAAAAACTAACTATTAGTAATTTTAATTTTAAAAGTACCTCTGTTTTTTTAAAAGCTACATTCAATATGTTTTTTTTATTAATATATATATATATATATATATTTGAGCTTTAAAATCTATTTTTATTTTTGAACAAAAATCAATACAAACAGCTATATATATATATATATATAGAAAATTGTAAAAAAATCCCACATTGTACTCATGTATACTCACATGTTTACAAAAATCGTTATTTATATCATTTGGTAGCGCGTAGCCGCACGTCATTCCGCTTAGTATGAATGTCACGAGCGGCTAAAGGACAAAAATAGCAACTTTTACAAACATGTAAGATATATTTTGCCAACAAGATAAATATAGGACAAAAGTAATAATTAGTATATATAGGAATATTTTTTGCAATTTCATATATATATATATATATATATATAGAAATAGAAGTCTAAACGTCATTTGAGAAGCTCATAAGCGTGTGTATTTGACAATTTGTTTTTTAAATAAGTAAATACTAAAACTCAATAATGAATTTTGATAAATATTCAATATACATGGATTAATAATAATAATAATAATAATAATAATAATAATAATAATACTCCCTCCGTCCCATATAATTTGTTCCTATTTTTTATTTTCGTCCGTCCCACATAATTTGTCATTTCTTTTTTTGGAAAATTAATTATACACTTTAATCATATTTTAAAATTTAAAATTTAAATTTTTTTTAATCTTAATTAAACTATTTAGTTATCTTAATCTTAATCTATAATTATTTTTATTAAATAATAATTATTTTTACTAATACATTTTTTAATTACTTATTAATTATACTTTACCTAAATTCTCGTGTCTATAGTAATACACCCATGTTACATAGGGAGTAATATAGTTAAAATATTGTAAAATAATTTTATGTCACCATCTTTTATTATGTTACTAGTAGAAAGAGAATTATGATATATATATATATATAATTGATATTTATTGACATAAAAACATAATGATATATAATTGATATGTATTGACTTTTGATGATGACGTGCAATAAATTGTAAACGATGTCAATGCACTATTTTCAAATTTCAAAATCAAATCCAGAAACAAAAATTTAATTTACAACTTAAAAGTATTTTGAATTTAAATTGACATTAAAATTTTCAGATCTTATCAATTAAATTACAATTTGGTATTTATTTTAAATTAATAATGCGCACAAGAATTTGGAATAAAGCTGAACCCAAACTTTGATTTATAGTACACAATACATAATAATTAATCCCTCCGTCCCAAAACTATGGTTTGGATTGCCTTTGGCACGAAATTAAGGAATATTGATATTATATTGGTACTAGATAAAAAGTACGTATAAAAGACTTTTTTAATCTTGTAAGTGTATTAGTATAAAAAGTAGTGATAATTGTGTAATATTAATGAAAAAATAAGGATAATTTTATAATGATACAGTTATTTATGAAAATGAGACTATTGTTTTTGAACGAACAAAAATACTAAACAAGACTATTTGTATTTAAAAGAATGGAGTATTATAGAAAATTGGATTTGTTTTGTTTTGTTTTGGTTTGGTTTGACTGGAATTTTAATTTAAATAATATTTTTATATTAATTGTTGAAAATTATATTGTTTTAATGAAATTTTTATTATTATTTTTAAAAAATATTTTATCAGATGAAATAATATATGTTTATTACTTCTTTAATTTCAAATACTGTGCAAGATTTATTTTCGTCACGAGAATTTAGGTGGATAATATTAAAAAGAATAATTTAAAATTTTATTAATATGATTAAAAAGAAAAATGTATATTAACTTTCATTACCCTCGCCAACACTAATACCATAAATTAATGTCACGGTTGAAATTAATAGAAAGGGTATAATTGTAATTTTATAGTATCTTTGTTGCGCTTCCTTCCTTTTATTCTCGAATTCAACAGATTTTTTTTTAATTAAATATATAAATAATTAAATTAGCAAACTTAAACAAATGAAAGAAATAAGAATTTGTTTTTCATAATGTAGGCATGGGCTTTTTATTATGTAAATATATGTTAAACTATTAATTTTTTATTTTAAACTTAATAATATACTATTTTTTTTTTTTTTTTTATTTTTTATGATGTGAAAATTCTCAGCTGCTATCCGAATGTGCGCCCTGAGTAAACCCCGTCTG